AAGACAAACACACCTGAATCTCTAGTTGTGAGTAGTCTACCTAGGTATTCTTTCGTAGATAGTAGTCTAAGGTGCTTCCGCCAGATCTTATTTAGGTGGACATGCTTGACCTAATATTGCAAGGTTTATTGCATGTAGATTGTCCACGTTTTTTTTGTCATCTTTTTCATATGTCTGTCTTTTGCTGTTCTTCTATTCTCCTGATCATTCACATGATATGACAAAAAGACTTATTCAAAAAAGCAAAATATACGACGCTGGACAAACCGACAATTCCTTTTAAAATAAAAAGAAAAACGAACGAAAATAAAGTGCATCTCTTTCTAATTTTGTTAAGCCTAACTAAAACCTAACATAAGAAAATTGATTTATACATAACATAATTTCATCACTTTACCATAACATCAAAGTTGCATCCATGACTCATCAAATAAATTCAAGAAAAAAAATACCACAAAATAGAAACAAGTCAAAGAGTTAAAACCCTAATGATTACAAAATAAGAAACTAATAAAAATAAGGTAAAGGAGAGCTAGGGTTAGTGGTGTTCCCACTATGAATAATGGCTACCATATTGCTCCCTGTTTTTAATTTTATTTAGGCTTAAGATCATTCAGTAAGTGCACCAATCCTAATCAACAATCTCTTAAACAGGGCAATTTACATAAACACCCCTCAGTTCTTATGTATTTACATATCTAACGACTAAATTTCAATCTTACACCCGACCCATCTTACCTACGCATTAAAAAGCATATTTCACTTAAAAAAAAAAAGTTAAACACCGATGTTTTTTACGTGCATGAAAGATTTCAGCGAAAAAATGTAAAAGAAAACTAACATTTAGGGGTCGAATATGTAAATACATAAAAATTGTGTGACATGTGTGTAAATGCTATTTTTGAAATAACAATGTCTGTGTTGCCCACATTTACTTATCCTTCACTATCATTCCAGTGCATGCAATGTGGAATAAGATTTAGTTATAATGATTCAACATGTGTTATGATTGTGATGCATTTCTGTAGCTTTGCTATAGCTTTAATAATGGAGTAATGCTTGTGCGGCTACAATTTTTAAAACGACTTTTTTGGATTGTGATTGCTCAATTCATACATAGAGTGTGTAGTATATATATATATATATATATATAGGCCTAAAATTTACTTTTTTAACATTAATAACATCAAAATGTTTCATATTAAATATAAAATAACACTATTTTAAGCTTTAAAAATTAAATTTAGAAATGCACACACTCCAAATTATGATCAAATGAAGTGTCTCAGTGAGTTAAACCAAAAGACATAAAAATGATCTGATGTAAGTCCAAGTGAGCTCATGTAATACACTTAAAATATAAAAAGAAGTATTGGAAGAAATTTTGACAGATCAAATGATCTTAAAATATGACAAGTTTATAATTAGATCAAGCGTTTTCGACGAGATGAATCCAATAAGCTTAAGATCGCTTTAATCAAGATGTCATGGAGACATTCAAATAATCATAAAACTACATCTAATCAAGGGAAACACTATGAGTTGTTTGATGGAATGATCCGAATTCATGCAATATTTATGGATGATGTCACATCCCAAAATCTTTAAATTGATTCTCACTCATGAAAATGTGCTAAATCAGAATGGGAAGATTAAAGAGAGTTTCAAGCACTTGAGGATTCTCAAGGTTCACCACAACTAAACCATCATTGCGAGTTGCAACCATTATCACGTGGTCGATGCTCAACCAATGATGTCGTACCAAACAGTTGACGTCAAGCCAACATAGTTGTGTTGCTGTCGCCACAGTTGATCCACAATCATCAGACTGTCATCATCGTTATTAGGATGCATCAATGCCATGCCACACCATCATCACAAGGCAATGCAACTATAGACCACTACCACCCAATCGACGTCGAGCCATTGCATCTGAACAGTTGGGCTATCACCCGCGAACCATCTATGTCGAGCCAATACCACCATACCAAGCCAACACCACCATGCAGGATCATCACAGTTAAGTTGACGCTTGATTGAGCCAAAAAGCGTCCTAAACTTCTAACATCAAGACATCAGTGTCGTGCGGGACCATTGTCACTGGGTTGTCCTTGCTATTATTAGCCGCCATCAGTGAAGCACCAATGCTGAGCCACCATCGTAGTGTCAAACCACTATAATAGGGCTGTCATAGCCATCGAACCACCAACACCAGACCGATATTGTGCCACTACTGTCGTCATCAAGCTGTCATTGCCAGACCACTACCGTTGTGTAGGACAACCATCGTTGGGTTGCCTCCATCATATAACCACAGTCAGTTGACTAATATTGAGCGACTGCTGCCACCGATAGAACACAATCATTGGGCCACCATTGGCCACCATCACCAGAACACTATCATATTCAACAAATCACTATTATTGACCCTCACTATTGTCACACTACATTTGTCAATTATCACCGGAACGTGGTCATGTGGTTGAAGTCATTTTTGCTGCCACCATTGCTTGGTCACTGTCATTATTATCCTTAGATCACTGGTGTCCAACTAACGATATTGCCACCATTAGACCTATGTTGTCAAATCTTTATCATCAGCTCATCGTTGCCTAGCCATCACAAATAATTTTGTTGGATCACCGTTGCTTAGCAACCACCACCATCAGCAACAATGAATCCAGTTCACCATCAAACATCCTCTATCATTGGTCTTTCATCATCGCGGTCGCGCCACTGTCAGATTCCTAATATTATGTCACATTCTTTTGGCATCATTGTCTTTTGTTTAAGGGCAAATAAAGTATTGTAACACATTTGAATGGTATAATCATTTCAACTGGGCTAGACCCCATAATACTAATACTTTATTATACTCTATTACTCCAAATTCTCCCACAAGATATATATATATATATATATATAAATTTACTAAAAATTTAGGTGGCCTCAAAATTGAATGAATAAAAAAAATCAATTAATTAAAAAAAACACAAATTTTACATTAATAAAAAAAAATTAAAATATTTAAAAAGTAGCTTGACAGCTCATTCAAAATAAAGAAATAAATAAATAAACAAATAAATGAATGCCAAATAATTGACATAAAATTAATAATGACTAAAAAAAGCACAATCAATCGTATAGACCTTCTCCAATGCGAAAAAGCCATGTGCCGTGGGAAATTTTGCCACCTGGCTTTACACATTTTGACACGTCAAATAATGCAGAATGTGAGTTGGAAATTTATTGGTATTATAAATTAATGTTAAAGTGCGTTTTTATTTTATTACATTTATTTGGTTAAGATTCCTCCGGCCAATATAATAGTGGGGCACATACATGCCACTTAATTCTTATGCATTTACATATTATACACATAAATTTTATTTTTAGTATTCATGCCACACCAATAATTCATATTACATTAATAATATCATTATTTTAATTTCCTCTAATATGTGTGTGTTTCTGTGCCGCATTTCCGACACCCAAGGTATAAGACCCTCAGGTCAAGGGTTCGAATCCCCTCTAGCGCAGTTGATCTTAAGGAGATGAAACACAAATTGTTTGACACATTAGAGATGACTGCAGACTCGTATAATAGCCTCTGGTCATTCCATTTAAGGATATATATATATATATTAGTTTTTTTAAAAAAGAATGGTGAGAGGCTATTATACGAGCCTCCAATCAACCTTATTATGTCTGACAATTCGAGCATCACCTCTTTAAGTCCAGCCGTGCCAGAGGAGATTCAAACCCCCAGACTTGAGGAGTCTTATATCATGGATGCCAACCAACATGCCAGAATATGCGGCACATAAATATTAAATACACAAATACATAGAAATTGAGTAGCATTGTATGTAAATCTTTCTCCAATATATATTGTATATTGTTGCACAATATGGTTAAAGATCATAGTGCCAACACGTGCTCAAACTACTTAATTATTCGCTTATTCAAATGGGGCCTTTCCTCCACATTTAAAAATAAGAAAGAAAAAAAAATAATACTAAGTGGAAACCATTAGACTGAGATGGCAAGCATTGATAAATCCTTAAAACGATATGTATTTTCATGATGGGAAAATAATTGTATTATAGATCAAGGTAATTAATAAATATATTATTTATCATGGTGACTAACATTTATGTGATTAATGAATAAAGTAATACTTCATAAATAAACTTATATTTTCAAATCAACCCATAGTTCTTGAGGACAACATTACATAAATATGATGTTTTTTATAGTTAATATAAGTAGAAAAATAAACAAATATTTCATAATTTATAAAAAAAAAAGTAGAATTAAGCAAAATAATAATAACAATAATAATGATGAATATGTAAAAAATATATTCTATTCACATTCACAAGTGTAGGAAGCATTAATATACGAAATAAATCTTAAAATTTAATTTCAATAATTAAACATTGTAGTAAATATCATATTGTATTATACTAACCTTCCTCATATTTTTCCTCTCTTTAGTATAGCCCTATAAGTACGGTGCTACATGGCATGACCAATTGTTCTATACATTAGGGACCATGTTCCATCAAACAAACCTAACCATTATTGGGGGAAAAAAACTAGAAAGAAAAAAATGGAGGCATACCTAGGTCTCTATTATGATATTTGCCAAGTTGGTTAGACAAGAGAAGAAAATGAGCATGAATTTTTGCTTCCTCATGGACTCATGCCCATTAGATACAGCACATTTAATGAGTAAGGAGCAAAGGATAGTTCTAAGTTAGGTAAAAAGGACCCCAAGAGTGCAGCCACCAATGATGAAATCAAAACAAAGGCTTGTGGCCCCTCCTTTACTTAAATTACAAGGAGATGTTGTGATATTATAAGAGAAAAGAAGCTTTCTTTCATCACATTACATATCGGTGGCTTAGGTGGTGCCCTAAATCTCTTTCCTTTCCACATGGGAGGGTAGGGGAGGGTGAGAGAGAGAGAGGGGAAGGGAGGGAGGGAGGGAGGGAGGGACGAAAGATACCAAATTTGAGCACAGTGGATAAAAAGCAAGGAGAGGGAATGACCAAATGTGGAGGGAGCTAAAAGAGTGCGGCCAGAAAGGATGATCATTTCCTTTTGGCTGTAAACCATAGGTTGTGCGTATGTAGCTCTCAGCCTAAGAAAGTAATCCTCTCCAATATCTTTCTCTGTTTTTCTCTGGCGGCTTCTGTTCCTTGCTCTGTCGAAGCAGCAGCAATTTGTTGCATTTCTCTCTCTCTCTCTCTCTCTCTCTCTCTCTTCTGTTTCTTGGGGGCTGTTCATCTTTAGTTTTAAAGAGTGAGAAGGCGGAATGACTTGGCTCAAAGCTCTACTCGGTTATGCTTGGAGGAAAAAGCTGGTAGCGAAGGATGAGTAAGAAAACAGAAGATTTTGTTTTTCCATGTTTTTCATGAAGAAAAGCTCTCAACTTTATTCTGAGAGAGGGTTTTTAATTGCCAGTGAGTGATAAAGCTCTCAACTTTGAGCAGCTTTTGTTGGGTTTGCATCCGCTGAAGGGAGGGTATGTGAAGATGGTCACATTTCAAATTCATCTTGTTTGCTTTATTGTAGGATTTGAATTCATTTTGTGTATATTAGTACTATTATTGTTGTTATGTGCTGTATTAAGCACCTGGTAATGAGTTATTCTGTGCCATTTTTGCTTGTAAACCAAGTTTTATGGGCCTACACTCACATGGTTGAATATGGCAGATTAGCATTGTTCTTTCTTTTTTAATGCTTTTGATAATATAGCATTTTTTTAATGTTTTGTTTCGGTGAATGAGTGGGCTTTGTCTTTTGCTGAATGAACTTCAATGAAGCAGCCGGAAAAAAATCCTTTTTTTTTTGTTTTTGATTTGGAATGGATAATCTTGTTTTTTTTTAAATTTCTATAACTGTTTCTTTTGGCTGCTAATTAGTTAAAAAAGTTTCATAAATCTGCAATCTAATGAAGAAGCTGGTTCTGTACCTCTGTCTCTATGTTTTTGATTCCATTTCTCTAAAGCTGACATTTTTTTCATCTGATTTGTATTATGCAAAATCCATTTTGTTTGATCCAATTTTCTATTATCCTCTCTTCGTTGAATCAATTCACTCTTTTGGTTTCCATTCTGTCTTCTTTCTCAGATTCTACTTTGTTTTGATGTCAATGGAAGAAGGAACATCGCATCAATGGCAGAATTCAAACGAGCTCAGAATTAGAGACTCAAAATTGGATCTTTTCTCAAAAGAGAATGATCAGAGAACCGAAATCTCTTCAGCCTCCTTCAACACAATCCTCCCCGATGATATCTTGGAGAAAATTTTCTCCTTTCTCCCTGTTTTGGGCATAATCAGAGCAGGGTCTGTCTGCAAAAGATGGCATGAAGTAGTTCACTCTGGAAAATATTCATGGAGCCGAATGCCGCCGCAGAGGCCATGGTACTTCATGTTCACACACAGCAAGAACATTGTGGGCTACGCCTATGATTCCACCATTAAAAAATGGTACAATTTTAACTTCCCTTGCCTCGACAAATGCAACTGGTTCATCTCTTCATCCTGCGGATTAGTCTGCTTCATGGATTACGAAAACCGAAACCGAATTTTAGTCTGTAATCCCATTACCAGAGACTGGAAACAGCTGCAGCAGCCCCCCAATGGAAAATCTCCAGATTACAGCGCATTAGCATTATCAGTAGACAGATTTTCTCTCAGCTACACAGTTGCAGTGGTGAAATCCAATCAAATTCCTCATGATTTTCTTCAATGGGAGTTCACCATACACATCTACGAATCAGAAAACTGCCTGTGGGTTGCTTCCATCAATGAAGTTTTGGAAGGATGGAGAGGAGGCGATGAGTGTGTGATATGTAATGGAATCCTGTACTGCTTAGTCTACTCCTTCTCAGGCAACAATGAGCGTCGCCATGGCCTTGTGAAACACAAGCTTCGCTCAAACTCTCCTCATGTCTCTCTAATTAGAACGATGATTCCAGTGCCATGTCCCCTCACCTGCGGTCGGCTGATGAATCTGCGAGACAAATTGGTTATGGTTGGGGGAATCGGAAGGCATGATCGGTCGGACATTATAAAGGGAATTGGGATATGGGAGCTCTGGAACGAGGAATGGCGAGAGGTTGCGAGGATGCCGCAGAAGTTCTTTCAGGGATTCGGGGAGCTGGATGATGTATTTGCGAGCAGTGGTGCGGATGATCTGATCTTCATTCAGAGCTACGGAGCCCCGGCATTGCTGACCTTCGATATGAGCCACAAGCAATGGAGGTGGTCGCTGCGATGCCCGGCGACGAAGAGGTCTGCACTCCAGCTCTTCACTGGTTTCTGTTTTGAGCCGAGGTTGGAGATGAGATCCTGAAGCTCTGTAACAGCAATGGGGGGTTTCATTGTTTTCTTCTTTTGTTTGTAGCATTTCAGGGATTAGTTGTTCTTTTCAGGTTTTTATACTGATTTTTTCCCCCCTATTTTAATTCGTATCTGTTGTTGGAGCTGCAGGGCCAAGTTGAAGCAAGTGTTTTAATAGATGAGTGGAAAGTTGGAGTAATTGAGTGCTATTGCTCATATAGAAGGAACTTAATTATTATATTTATGGGGCATTTGCATACATAGCTCACAATTTCTTTGTATTCATATCTCTATCTGACACTACTTTACGTTTTATGATTATACCACCCAAATCTTTCCAGCCACAATAAAAAAAAAATATCACTATTGTGCACTTACCTGTTGACATAGTGATTGAGGGTTTACTTTCCCACCGAGATCGTGGGTTTGAATCTTATATTGTCATTTGGGTTCAAATTTTTGATGAGTTTGGCTACAAGTAGGAGTTAGAGTTAGTAAGATTTTTTAAATTAGTAAATCATTTGACTCATGGGTTTCGAGAATTTAGATTAAAGGTGAATCAAAGGTGTGAATTTTATAACCCTAAATTCGAAAATTCATGAATTCACAAATCTGAAAATCAGGGAAAGATACATGAGATGTAAGACTCACAAATAGAAATACAGAAGAAGTGATATGTCATTAAAACAAACCAATTAGATGGGATATATACATACATATATATATATACATATATATATATACATATATATATATACATATATATAATATATATATATACATACATACATATATATATACATACATACATATATATATACATACATATATAGATACATACATACATATATATATACATACATACATATATATATATATACACACATACATATATATATATATACACACATACATATATATATATATACACACATACATATATATATATATACACACATACATATATATATATATACACACATACATATATATATACATATATATAAGTTGTTTAACTAAAGGCCCTGTATAATTATCCTTAAGTCGGATTCATTATTAAGTCCCTACAAACTAATAATATCTTGAAGATATATTGTTAGTTTGTTCCCGAGTGTGCATAATCTTGGTGAGGATCAACAATTTGCTCATCCGATGACAAATACTGAAGTATAAGCTTCTTAGGCTGAGTATGATCCCTTATAAGATGATAATCTATCTCAATATGCTTTGTTCGAGCATGCAAGATGTGAATCTAAGCTATGGTCATTGATGATATGTTGTCAAGGTAAATTGTTGTAGGTGTTGAGCTAAATATTTGAAAGTCTTTGAGAAGTCTTCGAAGCCATATAATATTAGTAACAACGGAAGATGGGGCACGATATTCAATTTCAGTTGAGGATCTAGCGACAGTAGGTTGCTTATTCACATTCCAAAAGAGAAGATTTGGACCTATGAATGTACAATACCTAGTGATTGAGTGATGATCAGTTACATTACTAGCCCAGTTGGCATAAAAAATAGTGTGAAGAGTGTGAGCTCCATCTTGGAAGGGTAGAAAGAAGTCAATTGTGCCATGAAGATACTGGAGGAGCCGCTTTAATTGATGATAATGAGACTCTAGTTGTTGTTAGGGTTGCTGAAAGAGAGAATCGGCAATAGCCATGATATCTGGTCTAGTCAAAGTGAGATATTGTAGTGGACCAATTAGTTACCGATATAGAGATGGATTGGTAGTGGAGTATAGAGACCCTGTGAAGACTTGGTAGAAACAATTTGAGGAGTAGAAACAGGTTCACAAGATGTCATTTCAGCTCGGTGAAGGATTTTATGAACATAGCAAGTCTAATTGAGGTGATAATCATATGGTGTGTGAATAATGTGGATCTCGAGAAATGCGGTAACAATATCCATAAATTTCATAGAGAAGTGTTGTTGTAATTCATTTTGAAGCTGTTGCATCATACCAATGTCATTGCTAATTTGAAGAATCTCATCGACATAAAGAAAAAGATAAAGTTAGTGAGAGTTGTGATGCTAGATGTAGAGAGATGGGTCAGTAATACTGAGAAGGAAACCATATTTAAGTAGATGAGTGGTAAATATAGTATTCTACTATTGCAGAGCTTGTTTTAGGCTATAGATGGATTTTGTAGAAGAAAAAAATGAGAGAGTTTGGAGTGATCTTTGTAATCAGAGAGATGGTGCATATAAATAGTTCTTGAAGGTGACCATGTAGAAATGCATTAGAAACATCTATTTGGAATACTTTCCATTTATAAAGAAGTGTAATTATAAGTAGGAGTCGAATAATAGTTATTTTAGTGATGGGGCTGAAAGTATTTGTATAGTTGAGTCCAAATTCTTGTTGATATCCGAAGGCCACTAATCAAGCTTTGCATCTGGCGACAGAACCATCATTGTTGCGTTTAATGCAGTTTGTCCACTTACTTCCAAGTATAGATTGATAAATTGGTGGAGTCACTAGTTTTTATGTTTGTTGACTTTGTAAGGCATGAAATTCTTCGTTCATGGCTTGCTGCCACTGAACATGCTTAACTTCTTGCTTATAGGTTGAGCTGTAAAGAAGTATCATGTAAAAGATCATTGTTAACCGTCTTAGGAAGAGAGCATGTTTGTGATCGAGTTACTATTGAGTGCTTTGGTGGGAGAGGTTTAGTAATAGGGAGAAGGTTGTTGGGATTATGGCCAGAGGAAGACTGCTCTGGTAGGAATGTTGCGGGCTGAGTTGGTGAGTCGACTGGTGTGCGGTTAGGTTCATTTGGAGAAAATGTAGATTGGATAAATGATGGGATGGGGTGCATAGTAGATGTGGGTACGGGTAGAGATGAAGGGTAGATGGTAAGTATGGAGGAAGTGATAGGGGATGGACGTTTATCTAGGTAAGGGAAGACTGATTCGTTAAAGAGAACATGTCGAGCGATTTTGAGCTTAATACCAATGGTGGGATCAAGAGACAGAGTCTGGGATGGATAGCCTAGAAAGACACACGATATAGATTTAGTTTGCATTTATTTTGGTGGATAGGTGGTATAAAGGGAAAACATTGACATACAAAGGATTTAAGGTGATTTTAGCCAGCAACATTACCATATAAGAGTTGATATGGTGAGAGATGCTCATAACTTTGGATTGTAAGCGATTGATCAGATATATAGCAATATGAACCATTTTAAGCCAAAGTGAGGGAGGAACTTTGCAGTCTGCCATTAGAGCCCGAGTGATTTCCAATATATGTCGATGCTTGCGTTCAATAATTCCATTTTGTTGTAGAGTATAAGGATAGTTCAATTGATGAATGATGCCATGCTTTGTAAGGAAACTTTGAAAGGCGTGACTGGTATATTGTCCGTTATTATCTGTTCGTAAAACCTTTATCTTTCGGTTGTGTTGAAGTTGAACTTCTTGTTTGAACTTGATAAAATGAGGAAAAATTTCAGATTTGTTAAACATAGGATAAAGCAAAGTTTATCGTGAGAAATCATCTATGAAAAACACATAATATTTGTAACCTTGAGCAGAAACTGTGGGGGAAAGTTCCCAAACATTCGCATGAATTAAAGCTAAAGGTGTACATTGTGGCTAGTATAATTAGTAAATGGAAAATGATGACATTTAGCAGTATCACAAGAGTTATTCAGAGAAGTAGTGAGTGAAATCCATAATTGAGGTTGCTAGTTGGCTATGAGCTGGATAACTTGTTGATGCAAATATCAAAGTCTCTGATGTCACTGAGCAGAGGAAGCTCCCATTACAACTAGAGCATGGTAATTACCGACAATTTGATATAGACCTCAACTGCATTAGAAACTGCCATGTCAAACAATCCGTAATTTGATAGCCGTTAGCATCAAAAATAGTCATGCAATTATTATACCATGCTATAGAGAGATAGAAATCAAATAGTGGAAAATATGAGGAGTGTGGAGTAGCTTGGAAAGTAAAAGCTTACGGTTTAGAGTTGGTATAATGCTGGTGCCATAGTGTTTCATGGGACAATACTATCATTACCAACCATAATTGTCAACCATAATTGTCTCATTGCCTTTATATGGTTCGAGTTGGTGAACTTGACTGTAATCAGAGGTTAGATGTTTGGTTGCTCCAGTATCTAGATACCAATCAGCTGGATTGGATAAGGATAACGAGGTAATGTAAGCAGTATGAGAGTTTGGCGGTGGAGAGGGAACAAATTTCTTGGGCTAATAGTGTATATTCAAGCAGTACCAACATGTAGATGCAAGATGTCCCGATTTGTTGCAAATTTGACAAAGCACTTGATCGCGATGATTAGAGGTAGTGGTGGGAGATTTTCTGGAGTGAGGGGTACTGCTTTTGCTTTTGCCTTTATAATGCTTGCCATTGGATTTGGATGACTATAATGCTAGCTGGGGATCAAGATCAACAGAAGTAGATGTGTTATCAGTGGGCCCGAAATAGCACACATGGTGGTATATTACTAGAGTCCGCACGTAGAGCTATGTCCGAAGTCCGGATACAAAATTTTTTCAAAAAATTGAAGTTTAAATATTAAATATGTAAATACATAAGAATTGAATGATTTCTATGTAAATCTTCCTATATTATTTTGACGTAGGACTATTCTCCACTCTCATGAGTACTTTAGCAATCTTCACTCAAAATCATTTAATTCGATCTCAAGTTAGTAATTTGATACTCAAACGTTGAACGTAAATACCACCTCTTAAAATCAAAGACAAGGCGAAATGATATGTCCCGGTTGTCAATGATCACATATTTTATAATTGGGACACTTACATAAATACTACCTAATTCCTATGTATTCACATACATAACTTCTAAATTTTACTTTCTTACATTTTAATCACCAATATCTTCAATATCACATCCAAAATATCAATTTTTAACTAAAAAGAATTGAAACACTCCTTTGCATGTACAAAAAAGATAGTACATATGTATATAAGTTGAGGCTGAAGTCTTAGACATGTAAATACATAAGAATGGAATGTAAATCCACCAAATAAAACACAAAATTAAAAATGGGAGGCTTGATTGTAGTGGAATGTGAGGAGTGTGAGGCATCCAAAAAAGAGAATATTATGTTCGGAATCTTAAATCTAAGCCGAGACGTGGAGTACAACATGATTATATTTATAGTTTTTCTTCAGTATAATTATACTGTATAAAGTTAAAAAAACATCCAAATAAATAATTTGATGTGAAAGCTATAGTTCCTCAGTGCGACCATGTTGTACTCTTCTGCACGAGGAGTACAACATGATTATATTTATAGTTTTTCTTCAATATAATTATATTGTATTAAGTAAAAAAAAACATCCAAATAAATAATTCGATGCGAAAGCTATAGTTCCTCAGTACGACCATGTTGTACTCTTCTGCACGGTTCGCGAACAGCTCGTCTCTTTGTTCGTGAACAGCTCGTGTTCGGCTCATTCGATAAGTAAACGAGCCGAACATGAACAAGTTTTTAAAGCTCACATTATAAACGAGCCGAACACGAACAAATTTTTGTTCACCTGTATTCGGCTCATTTTAGCTCAAAAAAAAAAATATATTTATATAAGAATATATTATATATATTTATATCTAAGTTTAAATCATAACATATCGTGTGTTAACATGATTAATGCATTCTTTTGCATACATTTGGTTCAGATTCGAATCCAACACTTAACATCTATTTTTTTCAATTTAAATTTAACAAGCAAATTTCAAGCCGAACACGAACATGCTGTTCACGAAACAATTTCGAACACGAGCAGTTTCAAACGAGCCGAACTCGTTTACAGCCCTACGCACGGATGGACTTCAAACTTCTTAGCTTTCTAGATAAAAATACATGTCAAATTTTAATTGGATTTCATACATATATATATAATGAATCGAGTATAATATTTTTTCCTCGAAAAAAAGAAAAAGAGCGGGGCTTTTAGGTTAGAGGGGCGGGCAGAGGGCAGCGACGCAGAAGAGAGGGACGGCTTTTTTGTTCTGAAATCTGAATGGCGACGCTGTGGGAGCAGGGCTTCCTCTTTCTTCTTTTTAATTTATACAGGCTTTGGATCTTTGCTGTTCAAATGTGGGGAGTAATTACTGTAAATCTATCCTCTTCTGAGTTATGTGGTCCTTGCAAAGCAGAGATGGTTGTTCTTTTTGGGTGTCAGCTTTCATGCTTCCTTATTGTTATTTTATTTTTGAATTATATATATAATGAGCCATGAACTTATTTTGAGTTGCAATGGATCTAAATAATTCAATTTGTGCAGCTCGTTTCAATTTTGAGCCGGATTGAGCTTGATTCAAGTTCGAGCAGAGTTGGCTCGAAGTCGAATATAACAAGCCACAAGCTGATTTTGAGCCACACTCAATTCATTTGGGCCGACCACCGCTCAGCTTAAAATCAGATTGTTAACAATACTAATCTTATATATATATATATATAAAAAGGTGTATTCAATTTTTTTTTAAAGCTAAAGTTGTAGTATTTTTGATGTTATACGAAATAATTGGGCGGTATAAATGTAAAAAATAGACGATATGTAAATACAATGAAATTGGGTGGCATGCATGTAGATGACGCATTTTTTTTGTGACCGAAGGTAAGGCATCCTCTTAGTTGCAATAACTAAATCATAGAGAAATGAGAAATGGTGAGAAAAATGACAAATAAAAGGATGATTAGAGGCTAATTGGGACTTGTTTCATTATATTTGATTAAAACTACAAATTTCAGGATTGTTTTAGAGATAATTATTCAGCAATAAGCTTTGGTGGTATATTTGTAAAAAGTCTTCATTTTAATTTTCATGATGCTAAAAATTGATAAGATAATCTAACTAGTTCAATTTTATGAGTTTGTGTTGCTAATGAAAGAGATTTGAGGCTACTCTAGAGCCAACACATGTGATCAAATAAGCTATTGTTTTCGGTAAGATTTGCATACATATCAGTTAATCTCCTTGTATTTACATATCTAACTTCTAATTAATTATACATGAAAAGGTGTATTCAATTTCTTAAAAGTTAAAACAGTGACATTTGTTTATGTGATATGAATAGTTTAGGTCGATAAATGTAAATATTCAATAGTGTTATGCTGGATATTATTGATGTACCACATATCCCGGTCTGTTGGTTGACATTCATGGTATAAGACCCCTCAGGTCGGGGTTTCAAATCCCCTTTGGCGCAGCCAACCTTAAAGAGGTGGTACTTGAAAGTTTTATGTAAGATAATATTGATGTATCATGTATCCTGATATGTTGGTTGACATCAACGGTATAAGAATCCTCAGATCGGGGGTTCGAATCCCCTCTGGTACGGTTGGCCAAAACAAGGTGATACTCGAATTGTTAGACATATTGAGATGGTTGGAAGCTCATATAATATCATCTAACCATTCCTTAAAAAAATATTAGATAATATTGATAATACTGTGGTGTAATAATATTAATATCATATATTGTATGGATATAATGTTTCCTACTGTTGTGGAGACTTCAGTTTGTCTGCCTGAAAACATGGGCCGTTTGAAGTCTAGTACCCAATGATGTAATATCAGCTACACCTTATTCCACTCATCGAATCTAGGATTTTCCAGTGCACTGCAGATTTTGATAGGTCCTGTCAATTAAATATACCACCAAGACAGAATGGAGTTAACCAGACACATCTTGTCTGGTGTTTCCTCCGAAGTTACAGCTGTTTTTAGGAAGCAGAAATGTTAGCTTAGATTCGTGGGAACTTTAGATGTCTTGTGGATTGCTGTAGCCATTATGAGGACTGATTCAGACGAGTTTTTTAGCTTTATTTATTGTTTGACTTTGCTGAGAAGTTATGGAAATGTGTTTGATTGATGGAACGGATTTGCTTGGTTCTTGTCTGTCAGTCGATTCTGAAGAACTGTTTTGGTTATGTTATAATGGGTTTTGTGATTTTCATGGATTGAGTGGACGGTTATTGCGTTATGAATCATGAATTCACTTGGAGAGTCAAACAATGGCGGTGCATGACAGAAAGAGAATGTGGTGTTTGTCTAATCCTAGAGTCAAACAATGGCGGTGCATGACAGAAAGAGAAGTATAAAATGGGATTAGATTGAATGAGGTGTTTGTCTGATCCACTTGTTTGGTGCCTAACATATACTTAAATATATAAATAAGGGAAAACTAATGTTTATTTTTGGTTAGTTGGTGTATGAATATTTTGGTTGAATGGAGGAAAAGAAACTTATGGTGAGTGAATTTATGTGTGGCTGATTGGGTGGTGTGAACGGATTGAATTTGAAAAATATTTTTCTTGAATTAGTCAATCAGCACTAATGGAAACTTGGATGTTTACTTTATGTAAAGTTGACAAGTTAATGTTTTAATTTTAGAGGCAATTATATGCGTAGCGCCCGAAATATTGATATTTATAAATATAATAGATTTTTTCATATGTTTTTTAAATTCTCACTCAAATATCAAAATTCACAATAAAATTTCAATCCATATTTTTTATTTTTTATTAAGTTCTCAATGATTTGATCGTGACGCGAGTAAATATATCCTTTTGATAGTTAAAAAATATCATCGGGATACTAAATTTTATAAATAACAATATTATGGGTGCTAGTCTTATTAGCTTGTTTGAGATCTTTTTTTTCTTGCTTGCATTTGGTCTAATTCAAACACATAACATTAACTTAACTAATAACTTATCATTCCCAAATAAAAAGATGAGAACTTTTAAGTAGCACATATATAATAAACAAATTAAAATGTTCATTTAATCCACTTTTTTCATGCAGGTCTCTCCCC